CTAGCTCGACTCATCCCTAGGGCTTGAATCATTGTTTTCTTCTAATAATGTTCTTTATCCTATGACCCTTCTGTTTCCCATCCCAGGATGGAGGTGTATGTACATGTATATTTGTGGGTTTTTATATAATATATATATATTCTGGTCCAAAGCTCTGCAGGAGGGAGAAGGGACGAAGGGTTCCCCCATGCCCTCGACGGGTGAGGCTCTGTTCGGTGATGCCGTTAGCGCAGAGATTTAGGCCTGTGAAATTGCCCTTCGGGGTGACCCACTGCTGATTTTAAGCTCTCGGTCCACAAGCGAGGCTTTTCTCTCTGCCCGCTGTTGGCCACCATTGTCGATATGCCGCTGCCGCAACCCAGGGCACGCTTGCGTCATCTGGCTGTTTTCCCGTTGATGTCCTGGATAAAAAAAAAAACCTTGACTTGTGCCCAGCAAAGCAAAAACCATCTTGCCGGTAAACGTGCAAAAGCGGCACAAAATGCAGCTTTCCCCTAAGATACTAATTTCACCAACAGAAACCTTGTCATTTATACTGCATTCAATTTTAATATGTACCCTCCAAAGACAGAAACGTGTGTACAGCAATCATGTCAGCTAAGTTACGTGGGGGGAAAAAAAGCCTTTTAAATGGATGTTTTTAAAGTGATGCCTGCTCCAAGGCCAGTAAAAGGCTTTGCTGCTGCGCGGCCGGTGGATCTGCTGCCGAGAGGAGTCCAACATGGGATTTGTGGGAGCCAGAGTGGAAACTTCAGCCCCAAATGCCGTCTGGAGTTGTTCGCTGCAATTAAAAAACCCCCAAAAATCTTATTTACATAGTCTGTTAACACTAATCAGTGCTTAAAGTATAAAAGATGCAGAATCCGACAGTGTCATGGAAGTTTAATGCTATCAACTGGAATATAATTAACAGCCAATTATTTTGGCGTGAATGGTAGTTTTCATCAGTTAGTCCGGGAAATGTTTAAATTGCATTAATTCCATCACTGCCCGCTTGCAGGAGATTTGGAAGGGGCTGGAATGAGCTGGCGTGCGACGGGGCTCGTCCGCGCAGGGCGATGCCTCCTTCCCCCCCCAGGTGGTCAGGAATTACAGTGCACAGACAACCCCCCCAAAAAAAAAGGTTAAGAAGAGGAGGAAAAAATAAAAAGGGACAAAGATGCTGGGAAAAATGTGCTGTGGAAGCTTCTTGCATCAGGGTTGTTGCATTCGGGAGGCGATTCCTACTAGCAAATTTAACTTGTACCCCAATATAGCAATGTTTGCAAGGTTGAACTGCAAAAATTTTTAAAAAAATCATTCTATTCTCTGGATTGTATTTTTGCGTCGTGTTGCGGCTGCGCATGGACCCCCTCGTGCGGGGCGCTGAGCCCCGGTCCCCGCTCGAGAGGGCTGATGCTCACTTCAAGCCACGTACAGCTCCTTCACAGCTTCCGATAGAGGCACAGACCCAGCCAGCTCGCAGGCAGGCTTATGGAAATCCCTGCCGAGCCGCCTGTGTGTGGAAGAAATAAGAGGCTGAAATGAGGTTTCTGAAGAATTGGCCCTGTTTTCCTGGTTGTTGGAACTTTCCTGTGACGATCGCAAAGAGCTGCCTGCAAATGGTGCTTTTCGGATCGTTTATTTAGGCGCTTAAACTTGGCATAGCAGCGGGGATTTCCTCCCCCCTGCCCCCGTTTTAAAATGAAGTTAAAATTTCCCTCTCAAGCCGAGTCGTTCTCTTAATGCAATTTATGCACATAAAATGGGCTTCCTCCGTAGGACCCTCTCGAGCTGGAGCTGCCGGTTAAGACGGGATGGAAACTTGCAGGAGAGGGATTGCGAGCAGATGCTTGGTGCTGGAAGGGGGGGGCGAACTGCTTTGGGGGGGGATGATTGTGTTGATGTGACTTTGGTGGATGAGTGCTGAGGGGCTGGGGACGGGGAGCCCAGGGAAACGGCAGAGCCGGGTGGAAATCCTGTATGGGAATGAGGGTAATTACAGGTGTAAGGCTGCTTCGGTCCAGCCCCAGTCCTCCTGGCAGCAGGTGCTAATAAAAAGCTTGATATAACGCAAGAAATTGCCCATTAAGTGGTTTCCTAAGGAAACCGCGGAGAGCAGGAGATGCTGTCATCCCCACCGCTTCCCTGAAACGCCAGCTTCTTTCCCAGAAAACCCTTTAAAAACTTGCTGGGAAGAGCGCGGAGGGTTTGACTTGCCTCGAAGCCCGTTCCTGGGTTCGAGAGCGAAGACGGCGGCGGGAACCCCAGGAGGGAGCTGGGAAGAGAGCAAGGACCACAGCACTTCGTGATGTGTTAAGAGCCGACGGCGTGTCTTTTGCTGTTTGAGCCTAGCAAGAGGTGTAGGGTTTTTCCCCTCAAATCTTGGCTGCGAGGATTGTGCTTTGCAATTTTTATATATATGTCTATACAAAAAATGGATTGTGCTTTGTAATACATATTTTAGCAACATCTATTTTGTAATATAAACATACATTGCAAAGTGCAATCCATTTTTTTGTGTGTATATATATCTTAAATTATATATTTTTATATATATATAAAAGCAAGATAGATAGATAGATATAAAAAAAAGCAAGAACCTTGGATATCTGGCTGATCCTGAGTTCAATAATTCAAGTTTCTCCGTAGGCTTTGGCTTGCAGCCGAAGCCGTGTGTCTGGCAGCCGGTGGCGTGGGGAGCGCAGTGCCACATGCTCCTTTCCAGATTGCACCTATAGCTTCTTATAGATCTTGGATTTTAACCTTCCAGTAGTTGTTGCCTGCATCAGGAGCCGAGTACTAAGTTGGAGACTAAATTGCCTTGCTGCACGCTTCGGAGGAGGAATGCTTTTGAGTTTTTTCACTGTTTTCGAACGGAGATCAGAGGGGAATGGCGCGGTTTTGGGGAAGCTGCGTTGTGCAGCGCTTTATAGAAAGGAGCTTTGTAAGAAACAGCTGCAAATCTGCTTTTGGGCCATGCCAGAGGACTCCTCTAGGATGTTCTGCTGCGGAATTCCCGCCGGGGCTGCCCTTCCTTGGGCTTGTTTCCCCTCTCCCGATCCTGGAGGGGTCTCTGTCGGCGGGGGGAGGTTCTCGGGTTCCCACCAAAATGCTGCAATTTGCAGAAATCCCATGGGGTCGGTGGCCCTTGTGCAAGCTGCCCTGCCTGGATCCTCCTCTGCCGGTTAATCATTTGCCAGGGAATAACCCGCTGTATCCCCTGAGCAAAGCATCTTGCAATAAAAGGTACAAATGAATTATCAGTGGGGAAAAAAAAGCCACAGGTGTTTTGTGGGGTCGCGTGGGGCTTTCTGTGTCCAGGGAAGGCGCTGGGTGGGTTTTGCACAGTAAATATTACACCGTGTACGAGTCCCTTGCGTCCCCCTCCCCGGTTTCCCAAAGGCTGGAGGGGAAGAGCTGCATTTCTGCAGCCCCCGGGGAAGGGGAAGATGCCTTTGGCCTTGGCCGCCTCTCGGTTCTTGCTTTTTGCAGGGATTTCAAGAAAGCACTTTGGACTGCACCGAAATCCCCAGCCCGGAGCTCGACTGTTCCTCGTTAGTGACTTTATTGCTAAATAATTTACAGAATGGGGCCTTGCCAGTTTTCATACGGGAAGCATTTCAAGAATGCAAACCAGATTTTATGCCTTCCTGGTGCAGCTGCTGGCCAGGCCGGAGGGAGCCGCCTCTCCCCGTCCTGCCGCCGGCGTCACCTCCCCGCCTCGCTTCACAAACGGTGGTGGAAAGGAAACGGCCCGGTGCACGTGCGGAAGGACCTTAGCAAAAATCAGGGGAAAACCCCCCTATATTTCATGCCCAGCTGGTGTCCCCCAGGCTGGCTGATACACGGTGGAGGTGGGGAAAGGACCCAACCGCAGTAGCTTGGAGAGGGGGAGGTTTATTTTTATTTTTTTATTTCTATTTTATTTTTTCTGGTAAGTGTAACGTGCGTGCTGAGGGATTTATTTTTTTCTCCCCATGTCCAGGGGCATGGTGCAAACCCGAGAAATCAATAAGCCCCTTTGGATGAGCGACGGGTTTTCTGCGCGTGTTCTCAAAGGGAGGGGAAAGCAAAATCAAACTGTTTGCATGCTTGCACGAATCATTTTGGATCACAATGTCTGGCTCGTGTAGAGGATTGCAGTGGCGGTGCACGTCCAAAAAGTGTTTTGCAGGAAGAGGATTGCGAGGGGAGACGAGGGCGACCGGGTGCAGTGTGGAAGTAGCATGAAAAGCACTTTATTAGGCTAAGCGGCGAGCGCGGCAGTGGGAAACGAGGTCGCTGGAGCTTCCCCCGGTGCCCGCCGCAGAGGGGCTGCAGGGCACCCGGGCTGGGGTGTGCCGGCACGCTCCGGCGACGCAGCTGCTTTGAGGGGCACAGCGGTCGCTAGGCGTAAATCTGAAAAAGTCAAGATCGGGGTCTGCAGGTAAAAGCGCCGTCTTCCCCTTTCCGGTCTCAGGGCGGTTTTGTTGCGTATGCCCTGAACGCGTGGATGGCTGGAGGCAGAGCTGAAGCGTATCATGTGGGGCGCAGCGGAGCTCGGCAGCCTCTGTTGGACACTGGCCAGACGAGCGCCCCGTCAGCGAGTGGTTTGGGTGGGGAGGTCGTTCTTGCTTTATTATAATTACTATTACGTGTTAATATTTATTTTTAATTTTTTAATGCAAAAACTAGAAACCAGTACCCAGTGGAGGCTCTCCCCTCCCCTGCCCGGTGCCTCCCCATCGTGTCCCTCCTTCTCCTCCGGT